TTTAGGTGTACACTCATACATATATGTACGTATGTTAAAAAGCATATATACTTAAATATATATGTATGTAACATTTTTTTACCTTTGAACTTGCTCGTACTTAACATACATATATTCTTATAGAATAATATATATCTAGATCGCTGTACACACATATGCATTTGCGTGGTGCAATTTATTATGGCTATTCAAGTGATGAATAAAAGTTGCTAAGTAACAAATGAAGCAAATAAAAATATTCTAAGCTTGCCATAATTTTTTTTTTGTCTATAAAGGTATTTTTTATTTACAAATATTTACCATTTATGAATTACATAAAAAAGAAAAAAAAAATGGCTTCATAAGTTTGTAAGTGGCTTTTTGTATCTTCTTTTTCAGTTGCTGCAAATTAATTTTCTAAAAAGGAAGACAAAGCAAAAGCTAAATAGGATTGTAGCCACTTAAAAATTAAAATAATAAGTAAAACTGAATGAATATTTTAATGGCTTTTAGATATTTCCTTTGGCATAACTCATTCACTTTTGTTTGTTTTCTATAAATTTTAGTTTTTCTTACTTTCCTACAGTTATGCCCATATTTACCACTTTTCTGTTATTTATTTTATTTTAATTTAATTAATTTAATTTTGTTTTACCTCACACTATTTAATTTTTAGTTACTTTTTTAATTAAATATTAACTAATTTATTTAATATTATTTTATTTTATTTTATTTATTGTTATTAAATTTTTTTTAATATCACATACTTTACTTTATTTTTTTTTTCTTTTATTTTGTTGTTTTGTGTTTATTTTATATAATAAAATTTTATTTTAGATCATTTTATTTTATTTTTTATCTTACGTTATTAATTTTATTGTATTTTATTTTATTTATTTTTATATATTTTAACAATTTTTTTTGTTCTAATTTAATTTGTTATATTCTTTTATTGTTTTTTAATTCATTTACTTCACGTTATTTTATTTTATTCTTTATTTTTGATTTATGTGAGTTTATTTTATTTTATTTTATTTTATTTTATTTTACTTTATTTTATTTTATTTTATTTTTAATTTTATGTACCTTACTTTATTTTATTTTTTTCCTTTATTTAATTTCTTTATTTTGTTCTATTTTATTTTTTATATGCTTATTTTAATTTGTTTATTTAATTTTATTCAATATAATTTTATTTTATTTTAGGATACTATATTTTATCAATTTTATTTTATTTGACTTTATTCACTTTTATTAATTTTGACAATTTTATTGTGTTTTTTTCTATTTTATTTATTTTTTTAGTTTTATTTCATTTTATTTGATCAATTTTGTCAATTTCATAAATTTCATTGTATTTGATTTTATTAATATTTATATAGCTTAGCAATTTTATTGTGTTCATTTTGTTTTATTATGCATTAATTTATTTTTTATTGGTTTATATTATTTTATTTTACCTCTTTTTATATATGTGATTTTATTTTAGTTTAATCTACTTCTTTTAATTTTTTTAAATTAAAAAAATATTTTGAGGGCAGCAAAGAATAATAATCAAGCTTAAAAATATTGTGTTTTAATAATTTTATTTAAATTTTTATGAACATAACCAAAAATAACAGCTTAATGAAAAGGCGGGCTTTCTGTTGCGTAACAAATTGGCATAAAATTTAATTGCGTGTCATGTCGTATACGTAACTTTTGCGTTATGCTGAGAGGGGAGTTTTAATGGTTTTGATTGCTGTCAGTTACACGTTTATCAACATTTTCCCTCATGCTTTACGGTTTCGCAAAATATTTTAGCTAATGACTCTCGCCCTCGCTCCCTCTGTCTCCTTATCCCCTTGCTCTCTCTCATGTTTTGTCCTTCATTGTCAGTTCAAGCTGAGCAACATTGAAGCTTATCCAAAATATCTTGTTGATTAAGTGCACAGTCATTATGCTGCCATGCTGCCATAACAATTCTTTAGCCATAAGCACCGAGTGTCACATATATTTAAATATATATGTACCACTGACTAATGCCTACATAAGCTTATTAATGAAAAGGAGTCATTATTACTTAATTCTAATGCCACTTCACTTAGTGATAAATGCATACTGTGGGTTTATACATATATATGTATACCATTTATTCTTTTATGCCTTAAACTAAGACTTACTTAGAGCAGGGCAATCCAAATCAGCTGCAGTTGGAAAAATTGATTATCCATTCGCTATCCTTTATCAGTGGTGCTTGTGTTGGTACTTGGAAGACGAAATCGACTACGATCTTGTTGACGGTGAATTCTTATCTTTCATATAATATTCTCGATAAGGCCTTCTACATTAGAAAACCTATTCCATGATAATTGATTCAGTTTGGGGGCGGTTCCCCTTTTGAAGCAGTACACTTGAGCCAAAATAGATGGGAATTCTTTCGTCCGTTCATATTCCGCGCGAAAATTATAAATATCTAAGCGAAACGTAGTTCACTCAAGTGCCTGCGAGTCCGCAAATTTCTTCACACTATGTTGACGTGATGTCTTCAGTTTTTTAATTTTTTAATTCTTCTCTAAATTAACTTTATTTTGTTTTTTTTTATATTTCAAGAATTTTTTCCAATTCTAAAACTGAAATATATTTCAAAACAAATAAATTTACCATCGTCATTTTTTTTATCAGTTTTCACTCAAAACTTCTTACTTTAAAAATCATTTTGGCTTATCTCCCTTCAGTTGAATTGCTAAACGTGGTGTGATTAACGTTTATGGCATATCAAAAATTATTATATTCAAGATCTCATATATATGTCAAAATGCTTAGGCAAATTTGCGTCGAAAAAAATTTGCTGATTAGCAATACTCAACACATTACTTTCCATTTATATTGATAGTGCTCATCAATTCACGGTGATTATCATTTTTAGGTCCTATTTTTGACAGCGTTATTATATTTATGCATGAAAAACAATATATTAAATTAAATTAATATTCACTCTTATTTCCAAGCAAAACAAAATTGGCATTGGTTTTCAAGTGAAGACCTTTTACATTCTTTGAATCTCGTTTATTTTATTCAAATTTCATATTTTATTTTATGTCAATTACTTTTTTCATTTTTATTTTATTTTATTTTGTTTTATTTTATTTTATTTTATTTTATTTTGTTTCATTTTATTTTATTTTATTTTATTCCAGTTTAATTTATTTTATTCTTTTTTATTTGTTCTGCCTTAATTTATTTCATTTTTTAATTTACTCGTAAGTTAAAGAGTAAAGAAACAAGCCGGTAATTTTTTTACTTAAGTTTATGGACGTGCATTTGTCATTTGTTCATAACGGTTACAAATTACAAAGTCACGAATGTTTTCTTTCATCTGCTCTATTTGTAGTCATATTTTAGTTTGTTTAATGTGAAATGTCTGTTTCGAATGTCCTTTACCTCGTTTAATATTATTTCAAGCGTTAGTTATGGTCTTCATTTTGTTATTGTATTTTCTCAAACAAAGCCAATGTTGCCATTGTTGAACAAAATTTTCAACTCCATTTAACTTGATAAGCGCACGTTTTGAGAATAAAACCGTTTAATGGTTCCTTGAGTGGAAGTGGGAAATAGCTCTCTTGCCACGACCAAAGCAAAAGACTCGCAGTATGTCTGGCTTAATATCGCTCTACAAGTATATAAGTATGTACGTTCGGTTAAGTATTAAATAGGTCTGCAAGAGATATGAAGAGTAGCCTTATTACGCACATATTACAATTTCTCAGAATATCGAAACAATTTGCAAATTTATTCAAATTTATTGCCAAGGAGCGCCTTATGTTTCTGTTTTTATTGTTTACGGCACCGGATAATGGCTAAGGGAAAGCTTGTTGAGTGAAATGCTCAGGTTATAAAAACATTTAAATGCATGTTCTCTAAAGAAAAGGACCATAATTCATTCTGGGAAAACGGATTGTAGTTCTCGCTAACTCTTTATGTTTTTTTGAGCCTGGAGCAAGTAGAGCTAATGGCACTGTTGTTGAGCAGGTTGATGTGCATGAATATTGTTGAAGTCACACAATAAGAATCACCTTGTATTGAGCGGCTCAGAGAGGTGCTTTCCGATCTTAATCGAGATGACTTGTGCCGATCGGTGTTAGTTCAAAATGTCATACGCGTTTGGTATAGCAAAGGAAACTCCTTTTTTTATAGAGTGAACACAACAAGCATTCGTTCGACTGTGACAGTGCTTAAAAAGCCATTTTATCATTCTTCAGGATGGCAAACGCTGCTTCGAACTTCGTATTATTTCGCTATTGGAATGTCTTTTCCATCATCACGGATTGGTTATTCAAGCTCGACATCAATGATATTTTCTTCCTCATAGTCATTCAGCAGGCTGAAAAAGTATTTCCACCCTAAGCTCATTGACGGGCTTTCTTTACTGCATTAAGACGTGTCTTGGTTTCCTTGAGACCGAGTCTTTAAGGGAACAAACAGGTGACTACCTTCAAATCATAATAATGTGTGCTAGTCTTCATATTTATGCCGAAGCTCACAGCAGTTTTTCATTAAAGAAGATTTATTCTTATGTGATGGGTCTCAAACCCAAACCCTTTGTGAGAAGGTGCAATTTCTAAAACGCTTGTTTCAAAATCGATGTTTGCTTGTAGCTCCACTCTGGTGAATAGAAACTGCAGCAAACCCTTCAGCTGAAAATGAAATGTCAAAGTGACTCCAAAAGGCTTCCTCTCTTTTAGTCGCGACCCAAGGTTCGACTTGGATTATTTATCGCCTCTCACACAAAATTTGCTTTTTTTTCTTCTATGATTATATTTTATACCATTGAAAAAGACTAATTAACTTGTTTATGGGATTACTTGCCGAGCCTTTCCAAAGAGTTTTTGTAGAAAACCGACGGCTTGATGGCTTTTCAAGCTTACCTTCCTACTTGGCCTTATCGCAACACAACAAACACAAACTTAATTTTGATTGTACACATCATGCCAACTCCAACAACAGAATATTGTAATTCATGGCATTCCGTCTATTTACAGCTCGTCGAAACCATGCAACGTCATCGTTTTGAATTTTGTCAACGCAAACTGTAGTCGCTTAGAGGATGATGAAACCGAAACTCAAGTCAGCTTTAAATCAAAGTGAACTGCATTTATAGGAAGAACTAAGTAAACACCAACCAACACAAACAAGGAAAACAAAATCAAAATATAGCAGAAAATCAAGCAAAGAAAAACAGCAAACGCCGAGTAGCGTTGGGTGCATAGTATCAGCTTTAGTGTGGCATATGAAAAAATGCCGGCCATAAACGAAATACTGCGAGTAAACTGGAATTTGCAAGTCATATCATGTATCGTCGTACTGCTGCTCACAACACAAAATATACAACCGGGTAAGCTTCATACACGTGTACACACACGTACATTTGTTCGTTTGTATGTTAACGCTAATACCAGCCTTTGTATGTGTCTAATGGTCTTCAATGTCATTGCCTAACAGCTCTAATGGGATTTTATACTCTTGCTATTGTTGTTCTTTTTGCTTATCAATTTTCTTTCTTTCATACTGCAGCTTTTTGTATTGACTGCTTCAAATGTGTTTCATTCAACGGAGCCAACAAGGCGTGCGACGATCCCTTTCACAACAATTACTCCACCGCCATACTGGAGTCTCCGTGTATGGGTGGGCGAAAAGGACGTGACGGCCTTTTTCCGGCGACGGCGTGCATAAAAATTGCTGGGATTTATGGTAGGTCAGCTGTTGTACGAACATATATACAATATATACGCATTAGGGTGTTTCTTATTATTATTATTTTTTATTATTTTAATATTTTTTATAAGAAAATTAATGAAGTTTTATTGTTTACATATGAAGAGCTCTCAAGTCCTACCTAAGTTAGGATGATTTGTTTTAAGATCACTAATGTGCGCAGAGAATTGTTAAATAGTCTAAAGAAAGCTTTTCACTGAGAAAATTTTGTTACGTATACGCACTGGCACCCTATTACAAAACATTGGGTCTAGTAAAAATAGTAATGAATAATGTCTTGCAATAGATGACTTTAATGATTTTTATCATGATCGAGGGGCAGTGAACCGACACAAACGGTCTGCATGCCAGGAATGACGGTCAGGAAGGTTTGGTTGTGTGTTTGTTGCGATTGGCAAGGAATAATCCCCGTACGACCAGCAATTGAACCTTCTGCAGGAAGCAATCGCCCAGAAGCGACCTGCTTTAGCCAACAGGTAGGGAAAGGTATTTCATCAGGAAAACATTAGACCACACTCATCAGTAGTGACTGGCCACAAGCTCTGAATCAAAAACTTATAGTCCGAACTCTCACCAATATGTGAAAATCGATACCAAGGGAAATAAGGTTTTCTATGAGAGAGTACGTATCTTTCAAAAAGATTAAAAAGTTATAAAGAAAACGATGCCTTATATATATGTATAGATCGGATTATTCTAGCTATGGTGAAAGTCCAAACAAGGGGGGAAGGCTTTTGCCTGCCATTAATCTGAGAGTGGCCAGAAAATATTTTTATTCCAGCAGCTCGCGACTGCCAACCTTAGACCAAGTATCCTCAACGGACTACGTGCTGTGGTGGTGACTAGAGTTTGGGCTCCATTATGGCTCCAATGAAGTACAGAGAGTCGGTCAGAGTCGTACAAGACGTGCCATGGATGGTATAAAAACGGTAGAATGCTAGTTCTACTATAGCAATAATACAAAAGAGCAGCAAATTTGTCGTTAGATTTATGGTGAGAAAGAAACCCTATCGCTCAACCCTAAAGTTCACCCCTGTAACCTACGATGTAACCAAAGATACTTGACGATTTTAACGCCAATGTGGACACAAAAGCTTTCATATAATAGTCGGAAAATGCCTATTGTGATAGACGGCATACGTATGTCTTCAATGCAAGTTATTTCTAGGACGTAACATTGGCTGGGACGATGCCCTTGTGTAGCAAAAAACCACCCAGCAAACACAAAGAAGGATTGATGTCGAAAAATGAAATCACAGAAGACAGCCCAATGGTTTCCCATTCGAAATCTGTCTGACTCTTAACGTTACGTCCACTAAATGTATGCTGTGAGCTGGATATCAAGAGTTGAAGAGATAATACACATGCATTTGTGGGCAGAAAAGCCAAGGGGGCCGCAATGCGTGTAGACCTTAAAAAAGCTTCACGAAACAAAAAAAATCCAACTAGTGACCGATATTCATGGCATACTCGTATTGATTTCAAAGAGGTAACACTTCTTAACTCTATGAAATGAGGTGAAAGAGATACATCCACAGAGCTCCTGAATACTCAATCGATAAATATGGAATACTCTTTCCATCCCCCGCACTTTGATGAAGTACTAACTTGTCCCACTAGAATGTAATACAAAAGCGGGAGCCGATGGCATCCAGGCTGAGCTTTTCACAAGTAGTGACAAAGTACTGGCAACGTGCTTGAAATAGCTTCTCACCAAAACGAGTGATCTAAGCCTCTTCAATATCGCATTCAGAATGTTTCCGTCGTGCCTTATTAGCTTTGAGCTTAAATCTCACTGTGGGCCGAGATAAAAGCTCGATTTTAGTAAAACAGCCATCGATATAGGGAGAATTAGCTGAATTTATGCCACTTTGTCTGAACTCGACTGCTCGATGATGTTGTGGGTACCACATTTCAGGTCACGGCAAAGTCAATTAATCTGCAGAAGGAGCTTGGCCGAAAGCCGCATCAGCTATTCCAGAACGCCACTCACATTCATATATATTAGTTGTAGTAAAAAGAAATCCTTTATTTTTCCAATAGATGTCGTTATTTATGTGTATCTCGCGTTGTATAAGTCCGATCGGGTGCCGCTAGATGGCGCTAGAAAGATCACATTTCGTACAGTTCAATCAAGATGGACACTAGCAAACAGAAAATACGCTATATTTTACAGTTTTTCTTCGATAAGGGCGAAAACGCAAGCCAAGCGCCTGAAAATATGAATAGCGTTTATGGTCCCGATACTGTTAGAGTCAATCATGCACAACTTTGATTTCAATTCGGTAATTTTTGAATATGTTTCACGAAGTGGAAGGCCAATTGTCGAAAATGACGATGAAGTTATGGACGCTGTCGAGTCCGATCATCATGAAGGCAGTGTTTCAATCGCCCAAGAGCTGAAAATTGTGAAAAAAACGTTTGAAACCGTTTAAAATAAGGCTGAATATGAAAAGAAAAGTAATGGATTACTTTTTACTACACCAATAAATACAATATATATAATACAGACATGAACAACTATTCAAGCATTTTTAGTTACAGTTTTTTAAATTATCGTTAATACTTTTGAGTTTTTTATTTAATTTATTAAAAAAAAAACACTTAAAAAGCGAACACCCTAATGCCGATACGCACATATTGTATATTTCATTGCAACCTGAAAACTCAAAGCGAGTCTACGGCTGTTACAACTTGTATAATCTTTCAATCTACTTTATGTCTCCTCTCTGACATACATACACACTCGTATGCAGATGATACTGGCGAATCAATAACTGTACGGGGATGTGCACTTGATAGCGGTACACTCACGACGGACACGGAAATCATACGAATGTCACATTGTGGCAAATTCTACTATGATGACAGGTAAGTTGGTTGCTTGAGATCACATACACTCGTACATATGTACATACTTGTGCAGTGTTATATGAACGTATGTGCGTAAATATGTACTTTGATGAAGTTACCAGCTTTTATTCTTGTGCTTACACATTCCTCCTTCTCTCCTTCTCCCCCTCTCTCCTTCTCTCCTTCTCTCCTTCTCTCCCTGTATCACTGTATCTCTTTATCTCACTCCTCTTTATATTCATTTGCAGGTATGTACATGGCTGCTTACAAAGTTGCAACGATGCGGACGCGTGCAATCATGCTGTGGCCAACTACAAAAGCACACCACAAACACTGTGGCAACACTGCAACTTAGCGCTATTGACATTCATAGCGTTACACCAACATCTGCTCGAACTAATCAGGTAGCAGTATAGCGGCATATAGAGAGTACATGTGAACATACATACATACATGCATATATACATACATACATACTTAAGTAGAGTTCGAACATTGACATGGTCATGAAGTCGAGATCTGGCATATCTTGAGAGCAACGCTCTATGCTGCAATTATTGTATTGGTATTGGTGTTGTTGTGGTGAACATGGAAACTTCGTACACAAGATGAATTTACAAATAGGTTTAAGCGTTATTGTATTGCTTTGCAAGTAGTGAACACACACAAAATTAACATTGTATAAATAACATAACATACACACACAAACGTTTCGAATAAAACTGCAAGCTAAACGAATTGAGAAAAATAATTTGATAAATCAAGCAACGCAATGAATTTCTTAAATGCATAAATCTGCGCACATTCACACGTACATAGATACATATGCATTCATGGATATGCGTATGGGTATACATACGTATGTATAAAAAAAATATAGTTTTTAAGGAAATCATAAAAACCTTTTTTTTTCTTTTCATTCAATTTCAAAATTTTTTTTTCAAAAATTGTAGCCAACAAAAAGAAGTTTTATGTGATTGTCAGCACAAAGTTTTGTACTTTTTTCTATTGTCAGTGTAATCTTTTTGAAAGATTAACATTAAGTTCTTATGGAAATCCGAAAGTATTTATTATACAAATTACATATTTTATACCAACACTTCTCATTAATACAAATAATTTTATTTATTTTTCTTGTTTAGGGTGAAAATTGCTGAAATCTAAATTTTTATTTATTTTAATTTTTCTACATTTTTTTTATTTTTATTTCAATTTTTTTAAATTATTTTTATTAACTTTAATTTAACTTTTATTAGCTAACATCTGGTTTATACAAATACAATAGTATGTTTTTAGGAGTTTTTTGAGTTAAATAAATCAAACTTCAGCTGAAATGTAGGCAAGGTTTTATTTTAATTTTTTTATGTGCGTATTATGCTTATGAAATTACACTTAGGCGCCATACTTTTATTTCACCAAACTCACAAAATCACATAAGTTCATAATTAGCCTATCGAAATACATATTACTCACGTTTTTAGTGAATATATAATTTGGTCAAAATATCAGAAATTAGTTTAATAAAAATATTTCGAATTTAGATATTATATACATTTTTTCTATGCATAAATGCAAGCTATATATACATACAAATTTAAATTTTCGAATAGCTCAAATTTTAGCTTAGATAAATTTGTAGCTAAATCATTGAAAATTTAAAAAGTTAATTAATATAACTGTGGTTTAATTAATTATATTTATGATAAAGTTTTTATAAGTTTCCTAAACTAATTTTGTTAAATAAATTGAGTGTCAGCTGAAATGTAGGCAACGTTTCACTCAGAAGTGTGACTTATACTAATGATATTCCATTAGATCAATGCCTATATTTAAGCGCCAAATTTTGTTTTTACCAAAGTGGCTTCTCATAATATAATATTACACTCCTGTATTCCCGTTTGCAGTTTATACATAAATTTTATCTTAATAACAGGAATTCCTTTGCTAAAGAATATTTTGAACTTAGAAAATACATAAATGTATACAAGTTTCCTATGTTTGAATGGAAGCTACTAACTATGGATAGTTATATTTTCAAATAGCTTGTTTCTTAGTTTAAATAAATTTATAGAGTATAATTAGTTTATTAGCTTTATTGGTTTATTTTTGCTTTTCGGCATTAAAAAATTAGTTTTTATAATTTAATTCAATCAATTTTGTTAAATAAATTAAGTGTCAGCTAAAATGTAGGCAATGCTTTAGTTAGATGTGCGTTACAGGATTATGATGCTGCGAAAAGTCATTGCCTACATTTGGGCGCCAAGCTTTTAGTTCACCAAAGTCACACATAACATAGCACAAACATGAAAATCAAACGCTTTTCGTTGTAAACATTTACACTCATTTACTTTATATATATAATTAAGTCGATATAACGGCAATGAGTTAAATAAAAAGTTTTCGAATTTAGCATATATTATATTATACATATATACTACATTTTCTCTACGTAAGAACGATCGCTATATATAAGAAATCATATTTTCAAGTAGCTTGTCTTTTAGTTTAGATTAAAATCAAAAATTGATAAAAATAGTTTTAGCAAAAAAAATCAAATAATGTATATTATTCAATATTATTTATTATAGTAATGAAGGGTATGCTGAAATACGCGCAAAAAAAATATATGTTGTAAAATATCGACTTTCCAGTGATTTCATATAACAATAATTTTTTGTAAAATTCATAGAATTACATAATAAAAAATTACAAATTTTCCAAAGGATTCGCAGCATAACAAATAAAAGGTATAGCATTTCGTGCATAATAAAGTAGATATATTAGTTTATTATTGAAATATTAGATACTCTTATAAACTGTAAGCTAACTTTTCTCAAAAAATTATATATATATATATATACATTATATATTTATATACAAATACGAAAATAAGTTAAAAATCAAAAGCTAAATTTAAATACTAAGCTATGCTATATAATTTTCCATACTTTTTCCAAACACTGGATATTTTTTTCTTGCACACCATATGCTTAAATCATATGTACATACATATATATGCAAAAACTAAGAAAAAAAATAAAGAAAAATTGATAAAAAAGGCTTCAACCAATTGAGCTTTAAAGGTTTCCTAAACTGAAAATATATGCACATACATACAAACATATGTACGTACTATCTTTATATATGCTAAGCGGCGTTTGTTAAAATTTATATTATTACTTTTCTATATAAATAAAAAATGGAATTTAGAAATTAAAAAAAAAAAGTTATAAAAATCACGCAATAAGCTTACACCGGAGCATAAAAAATTAAATAAGAAGGAAAAAAAATTCAAAAAAAAAAAAAACAACACTCATTTATGAATTTATTTAAAACATAAAAAATCGCAAGTGACACAAACTAACACAAAAACGCATTTATAAATTTATATATGTATGTACATACATACATACATATACATATAAATCTCATATACGTATTCAAAAAAAAAAAAAAATCTCGCTTACAAACTCACAGAGCATTCAATAGCTATAAGCAGCCTATTTTTCTAATTCCTAAAATGTTATGAAAGAGCAAATGGAAGCGCAAAATGTGGTTTTGTTAATGAAAATTAAAAACAAAAAAATTTAAAAAATTATCTCAAATATATGTATTAAATATAATCACAAAACATCAGCACACAGAAGTCAAATACATATGAAAAATCAACGAGCGTTCTTTTTAAAATTTAAAAATTCAATTTATCCGCACGAAATGCACACATACAAGCACACGCGCACACACACACATATATATCTGATTCAAGAAGCGCATAATCAAATAGCCAAAAGTAAAATGCAAAAATCTAGCATACGTAAACAGCTTTACCCAATAAATGTACAGGACTTCAGCTGAAATGTAGGCAAGGTTTTACAGAATTATGAACAAATTCGCAAAATACCAAATATCAAAATGCAGAAAATCTATGGAAAAATGCAAAATCATAAAGTATTTTCAATAAATAAAAAAAAAAGTTTACATTTTACTATTAAAAGTTTTTACTACCGTTTACTACAAAATAAAAAATATATAAAAACAAAAAATAAATAAAAATAAAAAATATTGTTATAAATATAAAAATAAATACAAAACGAAATAGGTAAAGGAACTTGTTATATATTTAATAGTAATAAAAAAAAATTCAATTTATTTACTTATATTTACTTTAAAATTTTATTTATAAGTTAATAAATCAGAATTATCATTTAATTAGTACTCTTCATTTATACATGTGTTTGTATAAAAACTAAGCGGAGAAAGATCTTTATTAAAAAATAAAAAAAAATTTAAAATAAAAATATATAAAATACTAAAAAAAAATAAAACATAATAAATAAATAAATTTGAATATTTCCAACAGACAGCGCGTGATATCAATAAAATTCTAAACACACAAAAAATTTTCACTTCGGTACACACGTTAGTCCAGAGTGTTTTATTTATATTTATTAATTATATGAAGGTAAGTTTTCCTTTTAAATCCTCTGTTCTTTTTCTAAACGGCCTTACCACGGCACCGCAATTGCCTAATTCGCTCGCTCAATGGCAATTCGAACGCCAAAGCCATGCCGAGTAGCATTGTTTCGTCATACAAAATTACCAAAGTACGACCAAGCCTTTGCGTTCTGTAATTTTTATCTGTAATTTATCGAAATCAGCTGTCAAATCAAAACAAAAAATATATAAATTAGTGATGAAAACAATAAACACCATTATGGAGTGAAAGTAATCCAACTCCTCACCTTCTTTGTCAGCTTCTTTTATCGGTTGTCAAAATGATGTATGCAACTCTGCGCTTGGTTTGATCTAACAGCTGTGATCAGCTGATCGATTTCCTTCCTCATTTCAGTTGTCATAATAGCTACGTGCATTGCGCATAATAGCCACTTATTCGAAATAAATTATATGGATATCCGCAAAGTTATAGGGGTAGTTAGATTTAAAATTATATGTTAACGATTTAACATTCCCGGTTATCTCTTAACTATTTAACATTCCCTGTTATATCTTAACGATTTACCATTCTCTGTTATCTCTTAGCGATTCAACATCAATGCTGTCGCTCGTATGTGTTCGGCTTGTGCGGCACAAGGGAACGAAGAGAGAAGGACGTACACGTATACAAATATAAGCATCACGTTTGTCATTTCGGCCTTAAGAAAGTGATAGGAAAATCGTTCTACGCGCTGACGCAAGATACCATCATGCATTCCTGACTTATGTGGGTTCTCAGCGAACACAGCTATTGAGTTGAGTAAAAGTCTCATACACAAACAACTTACCCTGTACACACTGACGAACGTTGACGTAGGCCGTGTTTGTTTATCGTAGTATACACTATATTGTGCATCACTTAATAGCATTTTTTTCATTACATATATGTATGTAAATATATAAATATGCTTACAAAAAACAATGGCCTCAAAGTGTGTGTGGCCGCATTTATTTGTAGTCTGCAATGACGAGAGTGTTTCTACGGACAAAAGTTGAAATTTTTAGTCAACTCACGATGAGGTGTACTTTTGTTAGTGTTTCCAGTATAAGTGAGATAACATTAGAGCATACATACATACATATATGCCCAAAACATTGTATAGCCTTCACAATGCCCCACAACGAGACCCAATAACCCTAAATCGGGTAAAAATTCGGCCATAAAAGCATAAAAATACATACATATATTTCCAAATTCAAATTTTTCTTCGATAAGGAATATTGTTTTTCAACGATAATCTCATTGTTAACATTCAATATCTAATTGATACCAAAAAATCATATACATATGTATGTATCTAAAGCACGGCAACGCACCAAACTTACCCAAAATGGAATTTGCTCACAGTTTAGATACATATTTGGAATACACACACGACGCCCTCATTTTGAAATTCCAGCGTCTTGTGAAATAAATGTTTGACAGTCGCCGACCATATGTTATACAACAATTAGGGTGAAAATTCGACATTCGTTATATAATATAATAAAGAAAAATAAAATAAAATACTTATATATTTGTGTGTGTGTTATGTTTCAACTAGCTAAAATTAAGTACTTCTCTTATTTATCACAGTGAGCACTGGTAATAAAAGATGAGTCGTTCCGTCGTTTCACTGTTAAACAAAACATCTAAAGTCTTGGCACGCCACAATGGTGTTCCCTCTATGCTATTTGGAGCTAGCGGATGTTATGGGACAGCGCTTAACACGTTAGTGGTGCGCCAACAACAAACAATGGCTGTTGTAGATCCAAATAATCCACTCCCCAAGAAAAGTACCTCGGCCTTTGGTAGCAATCAATCTAATCTGATGGAATATACTGTCGCACGTTTGGATGATATTTTAAATTGGGGACGCAAAGGTTCCATGTGGCCTTTAACATTCGGTTTAGCTTGTTGTGCTGTAGAAATGATGCATGTTGCTGCGCCTCGTTACGATTTGGATCGTTATGGTGTTTTGTTTCGTGCATCGCCCCGTCAAGCGGATATTATAATTATTGCAGGTACACTTACGAATAAAATGGCACCCGCTCTAAGAAAAATTTATGATCAAATGCCTGAACCCCGTTGGGTTATTTCTATGGGTAGTTGTGCCAATGGTGGCGGATATTATCACTATTCGTATTCTGTTGTGCGTGGATGCGACCGCATTATACCAGTAGATATCTATGTACCTGGCTGTCCACCAACAGCTGAAGCCCTCATCTACGGTGTACTTCAATTACAGAAGAAAGTGAAACGAATGAAAACGGTGCAAATGTGGTACAGGAAGTAGATCAGTAGAAACATGCAATTATGTACAAAGATTGGATAATTAACAGTTAAGCTTCCCAATTAAGCGCCTTATATTTTTGGATACAATTTTTTTAACGCTTTGTTATTAAATAAAAGAACTTCAATTATGTGGTGTCTGAGGAAATAATTTATGAGAATTAATTTATTTTTGGAAGCTGCCTCCGAGCGGCTTACGGTTTTTTTTTTACGAGGAGCCTTTATTTCATGTCCGAAATACACTCGGAGGGTTAAACATTCCCTGCCGGTATACATAATGGCCATCTAAATATTTAAAATATTTGTTGGTAAGTTCTTCGCTTCAACAGCCACATCGCGCCAAGTTTTACAGCTGCAGAATATCTGAGCTCTTGATCGTGGATATGTAGGTAAGAGGAATAGTTAAAAAACAAGAATAAGTAAAAGCGGTACACATGTAGCTTAATGGGATAACCGTTGGCTCGTGCTGTGGTTATCCCAAGTTCGAATCCAGTTCGAAGAAAGGTGGCTGGAAAAAGAAGTCTGCTGAGGAAACGTTTTGGTTTCCGAAATAGCAGCTATAACTTCTACCGTCTAAAACTATTGTCGAAATTTTTTCACTATTTCCAAAAAATTTAGATAGTCCGAAACAGTTACATAAAAAAAAAAAAAAATAAAAAAATTTAATTTTTCCTAGAAGTTATTTTCTCTTTGCAGTTAATAGAAGATTTTGGTATTATTTTTTATAGAATATTTTTATTATGCTGAGCAATAAAAAAAATTATGCATGCTTTTTATTTGCTACACTTTCTATAAAACATTTTGCTTATACTCTTCATCTTCTTTCACAAATTTATCAGCTATATCTTCAGGCACTTCCACTTCCTTATAATTGTCTAAGCCAATTTCCTCCTCTTTCCTGTAATTGCCAGAGAAAAGTAAATATCGTTATGAAATATCAATTCCTTTTTCCAACCACTTACTTAATCAGAATATCGACGACGTTCAAGCACGCCATCAAGCAGTCCTTATCTTTGCCTGTTTCCGTCTCCCATTTATGATATTCCCGTAGTATTTCATAAACACCTTTGGAGCGCAGAAATTCCCGAGAACGTTTTGTGGCGCATAGCTGCAACAGAGATTCCAAAAGCATTTTACGTAAATCTGGGTCTTCTTCACGTGCTTTAGTTTCAGGTAGATACTGAAAATCAAAAATAATATATGTATGTAGAAGGAACTTTATTTTATAACTCACAAGTGTGTATGTATGTCACTCACTTGTAATTGTATTGGAAGTTTTTCATTTTCTTCGTCATCAAATTGTTCCGGTCCACAAAGCGGATACAATATGGCATGCAAAATGTCATCTTCATCATTGAGTATAATGCTGTGATAGACGGGATCGAAACAAATATTTTTCAAAATACCAATTGTACCGCCACGTCGCACAATTGATTCTTCGTATGAGGCAAAAGGTAAAATTTTCTCGAGAAAATAATATTTGGCATTGCAAGCTAACTCCCGGCCTCTTCCGCTTTGTGTTAAATTGCAGAAAAAGGGCGCTACATTAAAAGAGTAGAAATTAGAATGTCTACATATGTAATTTTAAGTGTATATCATCAAAATTACCCAAATAGTGCAGTTTGGCCTTTTCTTTGTTGTAGTCCAATTTAGTAAAAGCTTTTAACAAAATCGGCAGAGTCTTTTTATCCTTTTCCAGTTCAATAATGATTTCTTCAACTAAATTTTCATTACGTGTTAAATTACTTAATACCATTGACCATGGATCTGCTGTCCGTGACTTTTCATCGGTTATTTGTGTAATTGCCACCGTGAGTAAAGGAAACGCCTGAAATAAGTTCATGTGAAAAATAAAATAAAATTAATCAAAGAGCATTGTATCTTTTACTAACCGGGTTTAAAGATTTGGCGGTTTCATAAACCTTGGCAGCGCCTTCCTCTTCGGCGGTCAAGTTAATTAAGCAGAGCACTGCGTCTTTTGCAATGGTGTGATTGTCATCGGGCGTGAGATTGAAAAGCGCTACAAGCACATCATCTAGCAGTAGTATGGCTTTCTTACCATCTTCAGAACCAGTTAGAGCTTTTAAAATACAAAATTATTGTTAAACTAGACTCATCTTCATCTATGTTAACCTACAGAGCACATGTGTTAACGACACCGCTTTTAAATCTAGCCGCTGTGTTGGGTGCATAAACGTAATTAGCTCCCTTAGAGTTGCTATATATAAATCAGCCACATCACAACCAGTTGCCATTTTCTTAACTTTTTTAACAATAATTACTTTTATTTATATCTTTATTTCAAATAAGAACATATAATTCACAACAAATAAGAAAGCTACGTGGATTGTGTGCCAAATACAGAATGTAAACAAAAGCAAACAAAGTTAGTGTTGCATTTCCTAATTATTACCCTTTGAGAAAAACAAACTCTTATCGATGTGTTCAAATACCTTTATTGCAAAACTTGAAATTTTATTTTTTTCATCGATATCACATCTTTATTGAAAAAGTTTAAATACTTTTTTTTATTGATATCTTTATTGCGTAAATTTATTTAAAAATATTGGCTTACACCTAAATGTTGTTTCTAAAAACCATTGCAGAATAGCAGCACTGTCGTGCTAAACCTAACAGCTGTTCAAATTAGCAGCTGTCACCGCTGGATATTTGCTGAATGCCTATGACGCAGGGTCGCATTTTTGTTACGCTTTAAAATTTTAACGATTTTTCAATATGCCCTACACGACAAGGACCTATTTCGCGGCTACAATCGTATGGCTCCGCCACATTACCATTACATTCACAGAACCATTTTTTCATTCCTTTAGGATAAATTCTGTAGTAAGAGCAGTAACATGTATCAAATTTGGCCATTTACTTTTTCAATTTTCAGACGCTAAAAGGTAAGATGGAATGTTCTTTGTTTATTTCAGGTTTTATTATCGTTATCTTTGTGTACCACATCCTCGCATCATAACTGTTTGGTCATCCACAAAAGCAGATCCTTTCTGTTGAAGAGCTCCTTCAGTACTTGAATTGGACCAACGTGAGCTCTTTCCACTACAGTGGTTTGTTCTCCAGGTGCCGATAAAAAGCAAATCTCGGTCGTTTTGAAGGACCTCAATGGAAAATGTTAAGAAAATGAGGTAAGCGTTTGTACATGAATGTACGTATGTTTTATATACATTTCGGAGGGTGGGCAGCTTGAGCATTTTAATGGGGCTTTAGTTATGTTAAAAATTACATAACATCTAACATAAAACGTTTAACATAGTAAAGTCCGTTAAAATCACCAAACAAACGCTTTTAGGGTAGAATTTCCATAAAAACTTTTTAGCATTGCTGAAGCGATTTTCGGCCGAGCTCCTCTTCCAATTTGTGGTTTTTGCGTCTTGATTTTTTTCCAACAAATGGAGGAACCTACAGTTTATACTAAGCCGCCTCCGAACGGCTGATGGTTTTATTTACGAGGAGCTATAATTTCATGTCCGAAACACACTCGGAGGGGTGGACATTCCCTGCCGAGGCGCGAACGCAGTTAGAAAATTTAACTTAATTTTTTATTTTAATTAATTTTCCATAACTTTTGTATATTAGGATATGAACCCAAGCCTTCCAAATGTCAGTACGCAATGCTAACCACTCGGCTACCGCGGCCACTATATAATATGTAGCTATGTTATATCAAGCATGGAACAGGAGTGAGTGGATGTTATGAGCAAAGCACATATGTCAATAAAAGCTACACTTGAGTTTACGTAGTGAGCGCTATGTTTTTTGCGGTACCTCAGGTTGGAGCTACGTTTTTTATGATAAATGTGGAATTGATGCTGGCTGATCTTTTCCACGGTGGTTGAAGATGGTGCGGGCTGATCATACCGTTGTTGCGTCGGGAATTTATGTAAGCGCGTTGGCTTTGCAGAAATGGTAGAGCGGGGGAGTGCTCCAAGCGGTTTTGCAAACTAAGCTTACACCACATAGGAATTGACGTTTTTCAGCCGTACTGAAGTTTATTACTGTCAAGGCAATCATAAAAGTTTTTCAGCCTTCTACCAAACGCCTCAAGTTTAGCCTCTAATAGACACAAAACTCATTGCCTCACTGTCCACTTTTTCTTCGGTATCTAAGGATGCTGGCGTATACATACATACATTCATTTATGGGGTTACATACGTCCAGAATTTTCAAAAAATCGATTTTTTTTTATAGGTTATTATTCTTTATAGTTTTAGGCGTATTTCTGTGAAAGTCGATTGTAAAAATTCCCCATAGATACAAAGTTATGGTAGAAAATCAGACCGCCCGACGAGAGTTTAATGCACACAGGTAGCTGTAACACACACATGACACATGAAAGTTTAAACGCGTTTTTCTCGAAACTACTTTTCCCGGCACGGTCTGCATGATAACTCATACAGTTTTTAACATTTTTTGATGCGATTTTTTTTTAAATATTCGAAAATGTTTTCTCTATAGTCTGTCGAGCCGTATTTTCGATATTTTTATTAAAAAATTTTATGAACATAATTAAAGTGTGACATTTATGACGTAAAACGCATACTTTTTTTCTAAATTCCGTAAATTGGAAAATTTTTCGAAATTAAAAAATTCGGCTCGACAGACTATAACTACAACTTCATTTTACAAGAATTTTTTTTATTTTTACAGATCCATCAACATTCCAAGGATAAATGATGCAGACCGTGGAGCAACTTTTTTTTCATTGTACTTTGGGTCACGTGATATTTTATGTACTAATTTTTGTAAAGAAAAATTAAAATACATTTTTTTATAAACATTAAGTACCAATAAACATTGTATAAAATTTCTTTATATTTATTTATATTGTTATCCCTTCTGAAAACAGTTCTTGTTTTAGCGCATTTTTGGTGCTGCTGGACGTATGTAACCCCTTATGCATTACCGCAGCAACGCCTACAAGTATGCAAGGGATATTGAGCATCCCATACTCGCTCAAATTTCTTTTTAAAATTTCAGAAACTTTATAGAGTTTGTTGGGGAAATTGAAAACTGAGTTATGTATATTCTTTTTTTTTAATAGATTTTTAAGTCTTCGTCACGTAAAGCAGGCAAGTCTTATCTGCAATTACCTTTATACTTGAAGTCCAGTAAATTACATCTAAAGGACGTTGCTAATAAAAGTCCATCAGCTATTCGGAGGCGGCTTAGTATAAACTGTAGCTTCCTCCGTTTGTTGGGAAAACATCAAGACGTACATCACAAAATGTCGTTTTATTTATTTTGTTCATTTTTATATCTGTTAACATTAATTAATTTGCTGACTCCTTGTCACTGCTGGAAATAAACCACACACTGTTTTCGTCAACTGATTTGTTTTTGATTTTATTTGTGGATTCGTGTGTTTCGCTTTACCTTTTGTGATCTCTCTCTCTACAAATCTCTTTAACACCAACATCTTCTGCATCATCGACTTTAACGTTTGACTGCTTTTCATTGTTGTCGTAATTATTGGAATCGACACAATTAAGAATTGGCAATTAAACTTCTTGGATTTTAAACACAAATACTTGCTTACGAATTCCTTTGACAAAAATAAATACGAGAAAAATATAATACGAAAGCAAGTTGATATGAATGCGACGATTGAGTATTGTTAAATCAGCGTAAAATCATTAGTTTAAGGCCGCGTCTGGGCGTTGGTGTCTTCGATGTGCAGTTCAGCGGTCATTAGTGTTTGAGCGGCAGTTGTTGTTGATTCTTTTCATTCGCAGGAAATCGATTTAATATAATAAATACTTATGGTTTATGGTCGAGGTGATACTGGAAAAGTTTTGTGCTTTATTGTTTACGAAAAATAACGGCTCGTAAATAACTTGTGCTTATAAAGCTGTCATTTGTCATATTTGACAATTTAATGGAAAATTATAAGAATTTGTCCCACCAATTGAGGTATTGAGGTGCGCCAGTTGTGAGTTAGGGCGTGGAGGCCTCTCTTTTCTTTTGTTCTCTTTTGTATGTATGAACTCAACCTCAAGATCTTTTAAATCTAGCATTACGTAATAGACACTAGCTCTGACCAAGAAATGCCAATCAGAATTAACCAGTAACAAATTGCGCTCTCTCGTTGCAAATTTAACTGGCTTTTTGTCTCACCGAGTGATTAGCATTGCATACAGCCATTCAGACCGACCAACATCAAAAAATTATAGAAAATTAATTTAAATAAAAAATTAAGATATATTCTCGCTTCAGCGTTTGCAAAGCTCAAATCATATACAAGGTCCGCCATCTAACATTTTTTTTTGAACTAGTGGTTATTTTGAGTGTGGTAACACTGATGTTACATCTGATTTGACAGAAAGTTAGTTTTATCCTTCTGCTGAACGAAAATGGTTGTGTATACGATTGAGGAACGCGTTAAAATAGTGCAGTTTTACTTTGAAAATGTGTGCGCATATTACGCACGGAAATGAGCCGTAACAAAGCACCGTCCGCTCCGTATGTGCGCTTTCTTTTGAAAAAAAATGCGTGAGAAACCAAAAAAAAGTGCGTACTGCCGGTAATATTGCTGCTGTGGCCGACAGTGTGCGTGAGGCGCCCGGAACATCAGTGAGGCGTCGCTCTCAACAATTGAACATTTCCGAGACGTCCCTTAGGCGAATTTTGAAAAAAGACCTTGGTATGACACCGTACAAAGTTCAATTGGTTCAAGAATTGAAGCCACGAGACCATCCGATGCGGTTTGCCTTTGCCGAATGGGCATTTGTTTTATTGCATTTTTTAAAAAAAAAAGTTACGTGGCGGACCCTGTATAAAATAGTTTTTTGATAGAAACATCTATAAACTCATGTCTTGAGAACGTCTCCACCGATTTCAATGATTCGAAGCAATACGGATTGATCTCCAAGTTGGTCCGAAAAGGAAGAATATGAAATAAAAATGCAGAAAGTGAATACAAGACAATCGTATTTTTGTGTGGATTACCATGATCTTCACTTTTTCTTTCGTCAACTGGAGCAGGAATGAATAAATTAGAAAAATATTATATTTGGTAGTTCTTTGCTAAAATTATGAATACAAGACCTAGTCATAGCATACCTCATTTCCGGGAGATTATCACTGATAAGCCGTTGATCGCAAATTCACATTTTAACATTTGCCTGGAAGACTTTTAGAAGCGTAAAAGCGACCAATCTCTCTTTGGCTGTATCTAATAAGCTTTTTTTTGAGAAGGTGAAAATAACTCACCCGTTCGCTGCAGTATTTGAAGGCCAAACTATATATGTATGTACCTAACCACATCAATGATATAAATATAAATAAATATAATTTTTTGCATAGAAGAAGCTTAGGATCTATTCACCATTCCTTGCCTCTTTTATTATAAAATTATATATAATATCAATAGAAATCTTTATTGCGTTTGAGGATTGATTTTTTTCGCTTGAGATCACATTTTTTTACGTTCTCTGTTCGCTTTGCTAGCCAAGTTGGAAATGCCCCGTAACGCAAAAAAGCTCTGTGTGCCCTGAACTTAAGCAACACTGTTTCTCAAATGTCAAACGCAAAACAAAACTCAAAAGAGGAAACAACATTATCGAAATTGTTACTTTTCGGTGAGGCGGTTCAAATATTTTAACGTTTTATTAATAAAAGTGAAAATTATAAAAAAAAAAAAATACCCGCAATGCATTCACTGGCGGAATGGTTTGATGCGAAAGAAGTTCAAGTGTTGCGGCGAGTGTAATTGAGATCTATTGCAGCCAGCAGTAAATATTAATGAAATCGCCTTATCATACGAGTATTTCACGCTTGTTATATTTGGTTTTTAACTATTTTCGGTTTGCCACAGTTTCGGTGATTTTTACCATAAAATGGCGTGTGGTCCCGGCTGGTCCGACCAGTGTTCAAATGTAAATGAGTGTTCTCCTCAAAGATACTACTGCGGTGGCGTTGATAGGTGAGTATTTTTCTTTATTTCTTAATTTGTGAACATCTTTTCAACTTGAGCAGTGATTAATTAAGCAAATCAACAAGTGAATTAACTGTAATGAGTAGTAATAGTGATTTTATTGTTTTACTTCACCAACTAAATGCTGGTTACGGCCAGGAGTTCATTACTTCTTGGTTATACCCTGCATATAGTTTTATTTTTAGAGCGCGCATCTATTTGTCAGTTTTACTATCTTATTCAATTAACATACATAAATACAAATGTACATATCAACGTGAGTGTAATGACCACAACGTTAACTAATTGCAATAAAACAATGCCGTCAGCCAGCGACGACAGTAACTTTGCAAACAACATTGCCATCCGGCAAACTTCAACTACAACAACAAAATGACAAGACAAACAATAACGGTTTCGATATCAAAATCAACCAAGCGTTGGTACTTCCCGGTGAGAGAACATTTAGACCACTGTAAAGGCGAACAAAGCTTTTTTTTTGAGTTAATTAAAGTTCTGGTTTTGTTATTGAATTTCTGTTTACATAAGTTGTTCCAATTTTAGTGTAAAAATCGTGACATATTCGCAAGTATATAAATATATCATTCAAAGCAAGCCAACAAGTGATTCATTAATTTACATTGTTCGGCCTTTTTTTCAATTTGCCTTATAATAACTGCATTTCATAACTGTATACTTATTTTGAGTATCTAAAAGAAAGATACGACTTTAAACTAAAAATCAATGTTAACAATAAATTCATTAAAAAAATAATTTTGTTTTCTGAAATAAAGTAACCTTGGAAGAAAAATCCCCTTTAAAAAAAAAAAAACTTACAAATAAACAGAATCCACGCTCTAAAACTTTTCTCTCTCTCTCTCTCTCTCTCTCTCTCCTAGGGTGATTGCTCGAAATATTAGTTATACGAACACCTTTATATTTTCACTTTGTCATTGTAACCTTAAGCTACTTGGACCGATACACGAGGGAGCGTTTTTTCAATGGGGCGTGGAAATAAAAAACCAAATTCAATATATTCATCTGCAAAATGGATACATTTTTCCTATCTCTAAATAAATTTAATAAACCCCTATTAAAAATTATTTTATCTTCAAAGTATGAAGACATTGTCTCCTTGACTTCATCATCGGTGATAAATTTATTAAACAGACAATGTTAAATCATTATTAGATAATGTTAAACCGTTTACAGATAATCTTAAATCCTTAACAGATAACGTTGAATCTTTAACAGGTAATGTTGCATCGTTTACAGATAATATTAAAGTTAACAGATGATGCTAAATCGTAAACAGATAAGGTGAAATATTTAACAGAAATTTAAATAATTAATAGGTAATGTTAATCATTAACTGATAATGTTAAATCAGTAACAGATAATGTTAAATAGTTAATAGATAAAATTAAATAATTAACAGATAATGTTAAAAAGTTAGATAATGTTCAAACGTTAATAGTTAAGGTTAAACCGTTAACAGATAATGTTAAACGTTAACAGATAATGTTAAGCGTTAACAGACAATTTTAAATCGTTCACAGATAATATTGAATCCTTAAAACACAAAGTTCATTCCTTAACTGATAATGTTAAACGTTAACAGATAATGTTAAACGTGAACAGATAATGTTAAACGTTAACAGATATTGTTATATCGCTTACAGATAATGTTAAAAAGTTAACAGTGAATATTAAAACGTTAAGAGTTAAGGTTAAATCGTTAACAAATAATGTTAAATACTTAACAGATAATGTTAAATACTTAACAGATAATGTTAAACGTTAACAGATATTGTTATATCGCCTACAGAAAAAAGTTAAAAAGTTAACAGTGAATATTAAAACGTTAAGAGTTAAGGTTAAATCGTTAACAAATAATGTTAAATACTTAAGAGATAATGTTAAATCAGTAACAGATAATGTTAAATCGTTAACAGACAATGTTCAATAATTAACAGATAATGTTAAAAAGTTAACAGATAATGTTCAAGCTTTAATAGTTAAGGTTAAACCGTTTGCAGACAATGTTAAAAAGTTAACAGGCAATGTTAACTTGTTAACATTTAAGGTTAAATCGTTAGCAGATAATGTTAAATAGTTAACAGTTAATGTTAAATCGCTTACAGATAATGTTGAAAAGTTAACAGATAATGTTAAAAAGTTAATAGGGAACGTTAAATCGTTAACAGATAATATTAAATCAGTAACAAATAATGTTAACTCGTTAACAGGTAATGTTAAATTGTTAATAGACAATATTATATCGTTAACAGATAATGTTAAATAGTTAACAGATAATGTTGAATCAGTAATGTTAAACCATTAAAAGCCAAACGTGCTGTTAATACATAGCAAGCAGCATTAATTAAAAGTTTTATTTTGACATCAATGATTTCATTCATATTAACAAAAAGAAAAAAAATGGCATGATTTTGTTAATTAAGTAGCATCTCTGCGCCCAACCATTTGGAGATGAAAAGATTGTCTGTGGGATGAAAGCAACATTGACGTGATCACATTGAGCATTGAATTCAGTGGTGAATAAAAAGCAGACAAAACTTCTTTTATAAAAAACAAAAAATGATTAAGTTGCTTAACAATTGATTACAATATGTGTGAAAATGTATAGCGCAGTCTTAAATTATTTGTAATTACTCATATAGTTTGCTCATTACTAAATAAAATTCCAATCTTTACTTCTCGTACTCGGCGAAATAACGGAATTTAATTCACAAATTTTTAAACAAAAATGTGTTAATTTATGTACAAACGCCTTCGAATGTCCCATAATTATAATAAAAGCAGAAAATATTCATACGAGTATGTATGTACATACATATGTATGTTTGTACGTATGCATGCTGCACAACGGGTTGGTTGGTAGGTCGTTTGGTCAGTCAAAACAGAACGGTATGCAGTGATTTCACATACATACATACATACATACATATGTACATACACACCAACATACCTTCCGCCCACTTTATGCATTATTATAATTCATCGTGACTTTGCCATTTTGCCAGTGCGTCGTATGAGTGCGAGTAATGTGATGTCATTGCCAGAAGATTTTGTGCATTAACTTCGATCCATTGTATTTTTAAACGCCACTAATTTCACTCGGCAGTAGTGTTTGTGAGTCGTCGACATCGGTTTTAAATTAAAACATATCTAAATAAAAAAAAAAAACAAATCCGATTAATTTGCTGTTAAATGGAATAGCGGTACTCTTGCACCGTAAACTCTTGTACGTAAACATCGTAAAGCTGCCCAGTAGGAAAAATATTTAAATGGAAAAAAAATAATTTGTATTAATTTTAAATTTACGATTTCAGGGTAAGCAAAAAGCTTACCGACTTGCAACTTCTACTTTATGGCCCGAAGAACGATGGAGAAAGTGGTCAATGTTATATTCCCATCTTCATTGAGCTAGTCATTTTATCCCTCTCGGACTAAAATAGCAGTGTCCAAGGCTCATGCTACACTGGAAACGTTTCCAGGTTCTCACGAAGATGGTGCTGCAATTGAACCCGATGACGAGTTTAGTTTTGAAATTGAAGATGATAGCAGCAGTCCGAAATTCATTTCTCTTTTCGAGCTAAATAATTTGTTAAAAAAAAAATGAAATGCTCACAAAAACTTTACCGAATTGTCGGCATAAAGGTTGGAGATCAAAAACTGAGGAGTTTCTGCGGTGCCAAGCCAATAAAGAAAAAGAGAAGAAAGAGTTTCTGCTTCCTTTCATAGATAACATGAGCAGCAGTTCACTTCCCCACAAGAAGAGTTGGTTTATTTTATCACGATTGAAGGCTTCATGGATTCACTTAAGACCTCGCCAAACCCGAGAATAGTGTCATATTTTCATGGATTCACACCAAAGGAAACCTACAATACTTTGCACTCTGATTAGCAAGTGGACAGTGGTCTAATATTCTTGGACATGTTGCTTGAACAATTCAAATTGCGCAGCACCGAACGCTGTTGGCTTCCGAGGGAACTTAACGCTGGCGGTGAGAATGTATTGTTGTCTTCTCTCAAAGTTGTGGGCTTTGATGAGGTAGTTCGTAAAGAAGGGAATCCTTGAAATGCTCAATATCAAAGTCTCCAGACTTAGAGGCAAAGTCAAAGGAAGCCAAAGCTCACGAACCACCTTTGGCTTTGATAAGGAAACTGGTAAGATCACTACCGAGAGATTGGAATTGTTTTAAAATTAAAGTCTCTAGACTTCTTAGAGGCAAAGTCTTTGTTGTATAACAAAAATATTCAATGAAAGGTGTTTTTGTTGGACCAGTATTGGACAGTAAAGCTGTACGTCGCTTTTTTCTGAAGTTTATACTCGTGCACGCATCAAATTCTTCACCGAAGGGTGCGTTAGAAAAGGCATTACGTAGATGTCAAGTTCGTCACAAGTCAAATGACAGAGCTGGATTTACGTTTTGCCTCCAAAGTCATGGATAAGCCATAAGGGGATGTGTGTGCATATTTTAAAATAAATTGCCACCTGTTGAGCGCCACAGCATTAGTGAGCTCGCTAAGCCGGCTACCCACAAGACAAGTTAGTAAATACGTCGTTGCGTCTTGCGATGATGTCATACAAAAGGCAGGTGAATGTGTTGGAGGATACCTTTTCACACTTAACTTCTAACTAACTACGCAAAAATGTAATTGCTTGCAACTATTTCTAAACATTGGCATGAGAAATTAAATCACCGTGAGTTTCCACACCCACCATCAACGAAGGTTTTATGAGGGCGTAGTACAACCTTCAACCCCCCATTGGATGTAGATATTTCCGGCTATCGGTGTGTAACACGTGTGATGTACCCTTAAATGATTAAAATGAATTACTGAAAAAAATTTAAAATTAATATTGTCAATATGTAAAGACGATGTAATAAACAACTAATTTTTCGAATTGAGCTGATCTACGTCACGTCAACCAGTTATTAGCCGGTCGCTCAAGCTCTCCTGCCAGCAAACATACGAATTCA